ACCAAAATACATTATCAAGAAATAAAAATATCAAATTATTATAAGCTATATTTTTTAATATTGTAATTTAGAATTTAAGTAAAGGGAACTGCGGGTCTCAATTATAATGTTAAGATTAAAAGATTTAATAAAATAGGCCTAGAAAATTCTAAAGATGTGACATCAAGTTTATTTTATTTTTCTACTTTCTAGTATATTCAACTCTAATTATAAATACGAGATGGTTGTTAAATTTGTAAATGTATTTCAAGATAGAGTTGAATCAGCAAGTGTTTTTGTGAAATAGTTTAATATGTCTTTACTATTGTGCTAATTGGTTAGCCATTGTTATTAAAATATATTAACGGTATTTCTCTTTCATTGTATTTTCATTCAGTACCCGAGTATTATATTGCAACCACAATAAAAAAATAATTCATTACTTCATTAATACTGCTCCTGGTGGCTCAGGTTATAACAATAAAAGTTACGGTTCGATCCTTTCTGTGGGAGCCTGGCATAGGCTGGTGGTTAGGGCGCTCGACTCGCAATCTGAGGGTCGCGGATTCGAATCCCTTTTCAGCCGTGGGGGCGTTATAATGTGATGGTCGGTAAAAGAGAAGCTCAAAAGATGACGGTGAGTGGTGTTGACTAGCTGCCTTCCCTCTAGTCTATCACTGCTAAATTAGGGACGGCTAGTGCAGATAGCCCTCGTGTAGCTTTGCGCGAAATTCAAAACAAAACAAAGAAACTTTTCAGCGAGCACAGCGCAAATAGCCCATTGTTTAGTTTGCACTTAAAAAATTATTATTACGATGTAACTGTATGTCAACTAGTGAACACAGTTTAATGTCGTCTGAATGCGTTGGGGGCACAGGTTAGCTCTAAGGTATAGCTCTGGATTTCACAATTGGTAAGTAGGATTTCAAATCGTGCAATACTACAAACATTCCCTGGATTTAAACTGTGTGTACGTTATGAAAGTGACAATCAATACCTTAGTGTAGATGGTAAGGTGCTGCTGACTGATTGCCTTTCCTCTAGTCAGTAGTTCAAAATTATGTATTGTGGCAGATAGCCTTAATAACTGTCACACGAATACAAAATACAAAAACTAGGGGGATTTAAGTTTGTTTGTTTTATAGGTTATTAGGCATACAGCCAAAAAAAGTCTTAATTCTTGACTTTCGTGATCCATCTCGGGAGGGGGGGGGCGAAATTCGCACATAATGTGGACGAAGTATGTCTTTGAAAGAATTCGGCCGATTCCACTTTCAAATGTTGCACATGAATTAAAATATGACCATTTCTATTTTAAACGACTTCAGCAGACAGCTTATCATAGGTTAGTTTAGGGCTATACAGTTTAATGTCGTCTGAATGGGTTGGGGGCACAGGTTAGCTCTATGGTATAGCTCTGGATTTCACAATTGGTAAGTAGGAGTTAAGTACTTTGTTACCAGTGTTCGTTTCGGTGTCGATAACTTCATCACATTTTTCTGTGAAATTCCTTGCAAGTTCAGACTGATGCCCGGTCAAGTCTTGTCACCTGTGTTTACTTCTTGAGCGTATCTGCTATATATAGTTTGACGACTATGTTGTCATTGCAGAATTTTGTTACGCTGTTTCTAATTGGTAAAAAAAAGTGTAACACGCCTAAAGCCTTTGATATATCCCATCTGATTGGTAACAATAGCCATATACATTAAACCAATAGATAGTTTGTTACCTGTGTTTGTTCTAATGTTCGCTCTTCAGACTACATAGAGAGGGGGTCTTGGCTCAACAACGGTAAATGACAGGAGGGGGGGGGGGTAAGTTGCCTTTGCTTATTCTGAGTGAGGTTTGAATTGTATTATCTCTGTTGATGAACAGACAATTATCAATTCTGCCCCCATCTCTTTCCCTACGGTGAAGTATAACATCCTCTTCATGCGCTACTGTTATAACAATTATGATGAGTAATTTTCCAACAAATCATTTCATTGTTAGTCTTTGTTATGAAAAATATATATACAAACCTTTTCGGCTTCTCGTTAATTCATCCGTGACATTCATCAGGTAAAGATCAGTTCATTACCAGTGTTATCCACAAAGGGGCGGGACCCCTAAACATTCTCGACCCACCCAAAGGCTTTCTGAGTATTTTTCGAGTGAAATTGTTAGTTGTGTATTTGTCACGCCGACAAATTACATATATCTGGAGAAGAACATGACTACTTTTTGATTGGTATCTTTGGTCAACCCCTGTACTTGAAGGAAGCAGCACGGGCCTCTTAGCAACAGGCTCAATGTCAAGGGTTATTCTCGGCAACTCAGCATCTGGAACAAAATGAAATAATTCATCTTTGAAAACCTTATGTGAAATCCAACCATGAAAAAGCATTTTGACTGCAATACATTATAATTTCTGCCTGTAAACTTATGTACTGCAGTACTTTGAATAAAATTGCAATTAATTTCCAGAAAATAGTTAGGATATGAAGGGCTAAATGAGCCCCTGTACCAAGAGACTGAAAGGCCTTGTTCATTTTCAAATCAACTACCATTACTCCTGTAAAGCTTGCTGTAGAGCAGCACTTCATGAACGAGGCCTGGACTACACAACAGGGTAAGGTCACCTCCGTACTTTAATCTTGGCGGGCAGACTAGACTAGGCCTGTAAACTTACAGATGAAATATGTTACCAAATATAACGTTAAATTTACCTCTTTAACCAATTTAAATATACCTTCTATTTCTTCATTTCTCCTTTGAAGCAAGTACACGCGTCTGTTTTGAAATAGCATAGGCTTAATGTTTGATTCCCCAGTGTTCGTTTCGGTGTCGACAACTTCATCACATTTTTCTGTGAAATTCCTTGCAAGTTCAGACTAATGCCCGGTTAAGTCTTTTCACCTGTGTTTACTTCTTAAGAATTTTCATTATGTTTGTTCTTCAAAAGGTTTGATTTCACTTGGAATTCTCCGACTATGAGTAAAACATTTCATTTTACGCTAATCGTGAATATCAGTGTTTACAAAGCTTTGTTGTCATTGCAGAATTTTGTTACGTTGTTTGTGATTGGTAAAAAAAGTGTAATACGCCGAAAGCCTTCTGATTGGTAACAAATGCAATTTTCTAGACCAAAAATATGTCAGATTTTACATTTTTCTCATTAGTGGGTACTTCCCGCACGCGGAATCG